AACACACACTCAATAAAGTTAGGAACTTAAGATTAAAACAAAAATAGAAGAAGTCTAGTTTGGCAAAAGAAACATCAAAAATCAATGAAGTCCAACATAACCCCGATTCATTAGTGGCGCTGTTGTTGTTGTTGAGCAGCCTGCTGTTGTTGTTGTTGTTGCTGCATTTGAGCTCTTGCCTGATCCTCCCGCATCTTCTGTGCTCTCAAAAACTCAGCGTAGTCTATGAAACCATCCGAGTTGAAATCATCATCTCTAAATAGAAAAAAGGTCATTTGTCCATGACTTCCAATTTATTTCCTACTTTATGACCAAGCACAGGTTCTTATAAAATAAAAGTTCTTTCCTAAAGGTGTCTTTTTATCTGAACCTCCCTTGAAATAAAGCAGAAGTTGCATACTCTAGCAAACCGTCCCCTTTTTAACCAAGAAAGGATGAATGGGCTAAGGGTTGAGATGGCTAGGCGTAGAAGAATGGCCTTTATCAGAGAATAACCTATATTTCGCAAAAATTCTTACTTCAAAATAGAATCGATCATGGACTCCAACTCAATTTCGCTTGGTAATGGAGGTGGTTGATTCATGCCTTGGTGCTGAGGTCCCGGATTTTCTGGAAATGAGATTTATAATTTAAGTTTCTTGACTGGAGATGCTTTCATAACTTACAGCTTCGACAGAACTTTCGCTAGAGAACTTGCAATCTAATTCATGAGTATTAACAAAAAAAGAAGAAATGATGTGAAAATTTGCAATACACAGTGTTATGATCTACATGTACTATATGCTAGTACTCGTAATCGAATATAAGAAAAAGGAAAGGTGGAAAAGACATCTGAGAGTCTCACCTCATACCGTCAGGATGAAAAAGTAATTTGTTGGTTATCTTGAATGCAGCTGAAGAACTATTCAAATCAAGCAGTTACATTGAGAAAAACGTCTACAAATTATCATTATGATTTCTCGGCTGTTTTCTTATTGAAATTTAGGTGTAGCTTTCCCACTAAGTCAATCTGTAAAAAAAGCTTCAATTTAGCACTGGTTTAACAAGTTTGCAGGTAGCGTTCACTAAGATAGATTAGATAGTGGCAAGCTAGCTAGTTGCTTACAAGTTTCGATTGATAGACATAATACACTG